TTTTTCTCAAGATTTCTTTTCGATAGTGATGGGTGTCCGAGCTAACTTGCGGCACCTCGACTATGCCATTGGGTACCTGCTACCTCCCACCAGAACAGGTACCGGATATCATTTAGCATTTTCTACCTGTGCAGGGATTTGAACCATGGCCTTTTATGGTTTTCATTCCACTTCATCGATAGCTAGGCTACACCCTTAGGTGCTCTCAACAATTATTTAAAAGTTTCTAAAAGATATGCCACAAACATAAAATCCCTTCCTTACAACAAAGAAGCCAATTTTGACTGACAGCAATTCAAATTCTGCCACAAAACATTCAGAAGGTACATAATTTCATTTTACAATGTGAAGAACCAAGTTATAGGAGATTTTGCAGACTAATTGACTAAACGACCTAGCTAAATGTGCAAATGGTTGAAAGGAAATTTCAATTTAAATATGCATCAGAGTATACCAGCATATATTAGTACATGTCAAGTGAATCATGGATATCAGAATGCTAATAAAGCTTATGCACATATCTGCAAATCACAAAAAGTTTCAAGTTTAAAAATGATACTCACAACAAGACCCACATCAGCAACAACTCTCAGTATCAACTGCAGGCTAACTTCCTCTCCAGGCTCGCCAATAGCTAAAACCTGCGAGAAAGTGAGACAAATCAATACATGCCAACTGCGAACATGCAGGAAGGCTGCTATTTGCTTAAGAAAGCTACAGCGTATTAAGTACAAAAACTACTACCAATATTCATGCTGGGTTCTCAGCCCACTTCTTTCTGTTCACCTAGTAAGTTTAGCATGTCAGCTCATCCAGATACAGTCACTTGAAAGTGCCCGCAAAACAGACACTAAGTGCAGTAAGCTGCCAGTAGCAGCAGCATAGCATATAGCATGACAGTCTACAGGACTCCCCTAGCGGATTACATGAAACTAGTACTAGAAAGCTAGTATCAGCTGAGTACATAAAATTAATTTTCCCTGAGCTCCTCATCATGCATCATAAGGTTCAGACACGAAGAAAGGATTATATCAAATTCAGATGTCTCTTAAAGATTAGGCTTATACAAACCTTATCGCTGTCATCTCTCATCATATTTGTGGTTAAAGTCGTCATTTGTTTCTTTTTGTGCTCCGGAACTTCCAACAAGCTAATCTGCCACAACCACGTAGTACAGAATTAAAGATCAGGTGTGCAGTTCCAAATAAGTGATACAGTATCTATTACTCGCAATGAAATACTTGAAGCACCAAAGAGCACATCCGAGAAAAACTGAAATAATTCGCTCCTTTTTTCTTATCTTTTTTTTCTTTTTCCTATATTTGGTTGCGGACAGTGTAGAAGTAAGATATTGACTACTTAAAACAAAATAGAGAAGCATGAAATGCCAAGCATGGTAATTATATTTAAGACCCAAAGATTTCTTACCCCTCCTTGTCCTCCCCTTGCAACAAGAACTTCATCACCTGGATTAGCTAGATCTGCCAAAAACTTTCCTCTTTTATGTTTGACAACAGTACCTGGAAAATATGGAAAAGCATGAGATGAAAACAATTGGCATCACACAGCTATATGCCTTTCAAAATACAAATATCACCATTCTTAAACAGCTCCAAATGATGTGTCTAAGTAGAGAAAACAGAAGATCCCGATGCATAATCTCAGGGTAACCATCCATAAGTCTAATTGTCGCTGGAGTTTCCCATGCATACTAGAGCTATTACACTAGAGAGCTCGAGAAAGAACAAACCTAGTGGAACAGGAATTCGCAATGTTGGTGCAGCAAGTCCATTTTGCAGGTAAGATGTTAACACACCCATGGCATCAACATTTCCCCCACGCTTCGCCTTGTGCTTGCTCTTGTTGTGAAACTCCAACAGTGTATCTTTGCTCTCATCTGCATAAATGACAACGTCGCCACCATGTCCCCCCATTGGAAGGATTAATGAGCCATCAAAGTCCCTTTTATAAGAGGGTTTCCTCTTAGTCTTTTCTCTGTCAAATTTTCCTTGTGACTTAGATGGAGCTTTAACGTTGGGCATACGTAAGAACGGTCACCATGCCCTCCATCTCCAGCACGAACTGTGATACCACTCATCAAGTATTG